TTGGGCTTCCTGTGCTTTGACTCGTTAGTTTTCAGACTCTGTTTGCATGTTTTGGTTTTAGGGAGTACAATTGTTCTGTCATTCATTTTTGTTTTGGCGTGCTATTGGAGTTGATTKTAGCGTCTGTTTTTCGATGTTGTTKTTCTAGAAACTTTTGACAAAAGAACTTGATGAAGCGCAGCATAGCTCAAGTGATTTGATGCAAAACACGCGAGGTAAACATTCAAAATGGCTCAAATTTTGTGCCGGTCTTCCCGCCTAAATTCGATTTCTAGCGATCAATCTGACATTGATTCATCTCTTTGTTTCTACAGATGGCTACACTGATTCCTTCAAGTTTAATCGGAGCTGCAATCGAAGAATTTATGAACGAATCGAGCATTCAAACTTATAACAACATGGAGACCGTTGGTTATACAAGAATGTTTGATCCTAAACTACTCTTCTTGGGAAAGAAAGATGGYCCTTTGAAGCTCTGCCAGAATCTCTTAGAAACAGTCGTTAATCATCCTATTTTCTGTACTAGTAGACCGACGATCAGTGTCCCAAGTTTAATGCCTAGTGCTTTAGACCATCTTCCAGTGACTGTCCATGAACTACAATTCGTGACACTTGGGAATAAATTCAACTGGCGTTCAAACGAACACGAAGGTTTCTTCTTTGTCACCGATTATGAAACCCTAAAATTGGAAGGAACCAGAAATCGGAGAGAAATACCACTAGAAGACTTTATGGAAGATCAAAAGCTCCCAAGAAAAAATCTATTCGGCGTTATTTACCAAAGTGAAGAGCCAGTGTGGTTAAGCAGTCTACACTCAGCTGAAATAATAAACTTTAAGAAGCGTCTTGCTTCTACCTTGAGGATATCGATGGATAGAGTGTATTGGGTGCAAAAACCTAATGATTTCATCACGTTTATTGAAGGAGTTATGTACGATGTTTATCGTTGGAGAACGGATAAGGAATGTGAGGTAGGATTTTACATAATATTTACATTAGACCTAAGTTATCTAAGCGTCTGGACTTTATGTATAATTTTCTCTAAGTGGTGTATAGCTATTGTCTTCAGTATCGTTTCATTAAACTCTTTCCAATCTCTATTTCTTCGTAAAAATATCAATTTTAGTACATCTAACTAATTCCTTTACTTCCAAAGAGTCAAAACAAAGCTTTCTTGATGGTACAAATATCCTGGGGCGAAGCTAATTTGTATTCTTATAATAGTTATAAGCTTATGTTGAATTTTCTTCGTTGACATTTAAAGGAAAATGAGAAAATAGTTCGAGGAGAATTCGTAGCAACTGAAGAAAGCAAGAAACAAGAACTGTATGATCCCGTTACTATGTGCTATGGTGATATTCCAGAAAAGAATGGGTGAGTTTTAAATTTAGCATGCATACTAACATCATCAGTTAATTTCAATAATTAATTCATGCTGATCAGAGGTCAGGTTTAGGTGATCAGACCATGCCTTGAGTTGAATAACTTGGATTTTTAGTGCTTACCTGTTAAGCTGGAGCCTCTTGTTTTCCTATTTCATGTCACATCATTATTTTGAGGATAGATAATATTCTCTGTTTGAGTTGTATCCATATTCATGTGTCTTCGGTATGCACAACCGTTTAACTGTACCTAAATGATACTCTAGGGAATGACATGAAATCTGAAATGGGATAACATATTGTCCTGGGCCCAGAAAATGTGAAGTTCGACGTTTGAACTGAGCCTATGTAACTTCTGGTTTGTTTCAGGATAACCTTATCTGAGGGTGTATAACTAAGATTTTTCTGGTATAAC